GCCGGGCCGGGCGGGCGCGCTCCGGCCGCGCTCGCTCCCTCCTCCCTCGGCAGCCGCGGCGGCAGCAGTAGAAGGCGGCGGCGGCAGCTGGGGATCAGACATGGCGGCGGATCTGAACCTGGAGTGGATCTGCTCTCTGCCCCGATCCTGGACTTACGGGATCACCAGGGGCGGCCGAGTCTTCTTCATCAAGTAAAGATCCGGGGGCGGCACGGGGGATCCGGAGGGTGCGAGAGGGAGCGAAGAGAGGGAGGTTGGTGAGAGGGGGAGAGAGCCCCCCGTCTGTGCCCCTGCAGCCCCCTCGGCTCGCTCCCGTGCCCCTACTCACGTTCGATCTTTGCCCCTTCTCTCACCCCTGCAGTGAGGAGGCGAAGAGCACCACCTGGCTGCACCCAGTCACCGGCGAGGCCGTAGTCACCGGACACCGGCGGCAGAGCACAGGTAACGCTGAGCCCGGCCGGGCCCAAGCGGAGTTGGGCTCCGCCTGGAGGAGGCGGCAGAGCCCGGGCTGCCCCGGCTCCCAGCAACCTGCCCCGAACCGCCGTCCCCGGCAGGCGGCGAGGTAGGGCGGAGGCCGGGCACGGGCGGCCGCAGGTAGAGGGGCCGCGGGGGCTCTGCGGCGGGAGTTCTCCCGAGTCTCTGGACGCCTCTTTCTCCTCCGCTGTTCATCCCCACTTGGAGACGGCGCCCTCTTTCCTCATCCCAATCTAGACACTCCCCAGCCCCGGCGTGGCCGGCTCCCCTCTCCCTAGAAACCTGGAATCCTGAGCTTTTTCACCCGAAGCCACTCCTGCATCTCCCTGCCGCCCCCAACTCCCATCTCATCCTGGATCAACCTTTGGGAAATCCTCTCCCCTCCCGGCTGCCCGGGACCCTCGCACTCGTCGGCCAGGATAATGTAGCCACATCCTTTCCCTCCTCTCCGGAGAGCTGCCTCCTGCCGTGCAGCTTCCTCCTCCTTCTAGGTGGGACTTGTGGGGAGGTGGCTGATAGGGGAGGAGGAGAGGAGTTTGGGGGTGCTGCGCTCTTCTCTGTGACAGATTAGCTCAGGGAACGCTTCGCGCTTTCCCTCCTGCCGCGGGAGGAGCAGCACGAGTCGGAGGCGGCGTTTGCAGTTGTAGTTGCTGGTGATCCAAAGTCTCCAGCAGCAGCGCTGAGGTTGCCCAGACCGCCAGGAGGCTGTGGGCGTGCAAGGGGGTGTTCTGTGTGGGGACATTTGTGCCCTAATCGGAGGGGATTGGTGGGGAAACCCATCTCTGGTGTCTTTGGTGGCTTGTTTGAATGCCAAATGTGAGTTGAGCCTGAGAAGGGTTGATAGTAGCTTCAGTGCTGGTCTGGCTTTCTTTTGTCATTCTTTGTTTACATTCGTGAAACTTGTTTGTCTTTGAAATGTAACGTGTGTTCTCTTACTGGCCTGCCTCTGGTTCTGGCGATTAGAAAGGCTTGAGAACAGTTTTGGTTGAAGGGGAGACCGGTTTCAGCAGTCCTTTAGAGCTGCCCTCCAGGGTACGTTCTCTATAACTCTTGAGATTTTGTGAATCTCTGAAGGTCGCTAGGATATTGAACAAGCCTGCCTTTTCTATTAATGCTGGAGTTCAGTGAAGTGACTAATGTCTCCAAATTTAGGTGGAGGAGGAAGAGGAAGGCTGCTGTAGCAAGCACCATGAGGTTATATTTGAAAGATATTTCTAATACACCATCATATTTAACTCCCTGGTGCAGTCTTGGAGTTTAATATACCTGTTCAGTGTTTTGCATACATATTTCAACTCTGATGGCCTTGTTTCCTTTGTGGGTAGTAATAAATTTATTTCGTGAAAGACAATATGGTATTTAAATTATTTAGCTAAATCACTGTACAGAATTGTTTTTTTAAGCGTATTTTGTTATGTATAGTATAAATATGTTTCATAACTACCCCTACAGATTTGATAACATTCACACTTAAAAAAAATTTTTATTCTCTTACATGATTTCATTTTTTTTTCTGCGTTGGTTTACTTTGCTCTGACGCTGGTTTTGTATGCACACTAAGGGCTTTTTATGTCGGAGAGGTATTATGATTAAATCCAAGCCAATTGTCATTTATAAGTTATATAGAGCACATATTCACCTGAATCATTCCCAGGTTTATTACTTGAAACTTCACATCTTTTAAAGCGTGTAGAAATGCACAAGTATGCAGTGTCTTTCTTTTCCCCTAATTATTTAGGAAGCTCTTCCTTCTCATCAGTGATGCTTCCTAGATGGATTCGTTTATGCATCTGAGAAATACCTCTTAAATATATACCTAAGAAAAAGGCAGCCGTTGCCTCTGATGCACAGGTTTTGTTTTTTTGCCAACCATTCATGGGTATTTTACCTAAGATTAGAAGGCATCCCCTTGCTGTTTTTGAATGCCAGAGCATGATCTCTCCATCCTGATCGTTAAAGATCATAATCATGTCAGATAGTTTCTAATATTGTTGATACTTATCTGCTGGTTTTAAATTTGAAGTACCATCTTCCCAAAGATGATGCTATATCTGTCTACTACCAATTTTATTACCAGTCCAACACCTTTTTTTTTAAGTTAGGGATCTACTTAATAAATGAAAGTAGCTAATCCTGAAAACTAATAACTAAGATGGATTGAAACTTATTTTGCTGTCTGATTAAAGTAATACTAATTACAACTTACATGTTTCCTAGATTTGCCTACTGGCTGGGAAGAAGCATATACTTTTGAAGGTGCAAGATACTATATAAAGTGAGTTTTTCGATGTTGATTTTTTTTTCCTTGGTAATTTGAATGTTATGATTCATCTTCAGTTGAATAGTTGTACGTCTGGACGTGATTTTTTAAGGTGTCTCATGTGATGTAGACTTTATTCTTTATATAGCATTGGAATTTTGAGAGGAAAAAAATGACATTCTTAGTTTTCTGATGTTGTTTGGGTACTCATTAATTTAGAGATCAGATCATTTAAGGGGCTTTTGTACGTGGTTCTGGGTGATAGAGCTTTATAGTCATTTATCTGTTAGCTGTATGGAACTTAAATTTTTTGATCTTTGATTATGTGTATTAATAGAAATCAAACAAAAATGAATTGATTGAGTTATGTTACAATCTTTTTTGTTATTTTTTAAGTGGATTCTTTTCCAGTGTATTTTAACCAGAAAAAGTAATGTCAAGCTAGGTATAGACTAATGAACAGTGACAGGGTGGAAAATAAAAATAAAGAGAAATAAATACCGAATATTTCAAAAACATCTATTGGAACATTGTAATTTTTCCTCAGTTGATTCAAGTATTATGTGAGTTAGCATGTTTTACTGGTATGTTTGTGTTTGAATAAAAGGCTTTCAACAGAATTTGCAGAGAAAATATGACCAGTCCCAAACTTAAAAATAATTCTATAGAGTATTGAACTAATTTCTGCTCAAAGTTAACTCGGTAGTACTTAGAGACAAATACAATGCTTGAGGTCAACATTATGGGGGGAAGAAAAATTATATCCCCCAAGGGAAAATAAATGTGGCTTTATTTTTATTTTAAAATTGGAAGCTGGGTTTATTTAAGACCTTGTTGTTGTTGTTTAAAAAAAAGTGTTTAATTTTTAAGGAATCAAGCCTTGAGCATGTTTAAATACAAGATTTGATTGAGAGTTTATTAGTAATAACAGATACCAGGTAAAGATGCCTTTATTTCATCAGGCCTACTAAGCTATTTTTACTAAGGACTTTTTTAAGATCTTGCCATACTTCTACTAAGTTATGATACCTGTATATTTAAAAAATTTAGAAGGATATTTATATAAAATGTTAGGTAATATTTATAGATATTAGGAATGCTTGTCTGAGATGTAGAAATAGAGAAAGCAGAAACAAGTTACAGGAACAGTAGTTTCATGGTGTGGTCCTTTTCTGGATATTTTTTGGTTAAATCTTTTATTTGGAAATTGTATTATATAGTGTTATTAGATGGCCTAAAAAATAAAGTCATGAGTAAAAGCTCAGCATCACCAACTGTTTTTCTAGTAGTTATTTTCATTCTGAATTAAACTAAGTTTGTATTGACATGAAAAAGGGTACTTTTTTTTTTTTTTTGATGTAGTGTTTATATTTCTGAGGGAAGACAGTTTTTCAAGTGAATTTATTTAATTTTCTCCAATTCGATTTCAGCTACTGTACGTTAAACCTAACTGATCTTATTTGAATAGAGGTGACACTGGAATTCTCAATACTATTTTAATTTCATCCGTGTGTACATTCTTACATGAACGTTTGTACATAGTATGGAATGCTGTTCTGTGTGAGCTGAATAGGTTTTAATTTAGAACCAAGCTATTAGAAAGGCTGAATTTTTGTTTGTTTTACTAGCTGTTTTGATTAGATTTTCCTTTATGTTGACTTAAACAAATCAAAATTTTATTTGAGTGCCATGCCTAAGGAAGTTGCTCAGGAAACTTAGGACAGTATTAAGAAAGCTGTAATAAATTTACTTTAACTCTGAAATCATAGCCATCATTTCTAAACTTGTGAGTTTTTATTATGTATATTAATAGATAGCCAATAAAATCATAGCAAAACAGTTGTAATCACTACTTTATATTATGAAAGTAATTTGTTCTAAAATTGAGCATGTTATAGAAATACAAACTTCTTTTATGTAAACTAACCATTGACAAATATCTGATTTCCTGAATGTTAGTTGTACAGCTTTACCTTTCTGTGTTATGTCAGAAAACTAATTTCTTTCAAGATTAGCTAAATCTCTAATGTGGACTATAATTTCCTGGAAACTTTTTACTTGTATTATTAGGAGCAATAAGTGATCTTTTATCATTCTAATATGATATGGACACTACTTTTATTTTGAACTTTACTATTTACAAAGTGCTTTCACATATATTACGGCGTCTGAATCTCATTTTAATCATGGGAAGTAGTCAGGAGAATTATTATTTTCATCGTCACACCACATAATAAAACAACAGTGACATGACATTGGAACTTAACAGTTGGCAAAGACAGCAAGATGAGAAACAGCAGAAACATGAACTATATTTAGAATATTCAGAGTAGAGGAAAAGATAGGAGTCTGAGGGAGGGAAATGATTAAGGTTGGTGGATCCATTTTTTCATTATTCTTTCTTAGATGAAGAAAGGTTATTGATAAAGTTATAAGAAAAGGAGGTGATACAGTGAGCAGGGTGGATTTTATTCACATGGGAAGAGGGATGATAGAAAGGGCAATAAAAAACACTATCCATTGACCCTCCTGCTGTTCTTGATCCTGTGTTCCCACGAGGCCCCCTTAGCAAGAAGGGAGGCGCAAAGAACTTGAGTTGCTTCTACTTCTTTGTTCTCAAGTGAAGTATATTGAACTCTCAAATTATTTCTGTCTTGAACAAATGCTGGTTGTTGTTTAAAATGGCATATTGCCAGAATAATTTATCTTTGGATAATACTTTGGTATTGACAATTGCACCTCCATGGGTAGCGTGGGAGAAAGAGTCCCGGAGAGCTGGGCTGTGATCTTGACTTTGGAGCTTAGTTGTCACATCTTTGTAAGTTAGGCTGGCTGGAAAAGGCAGCTTTTAAATTTCATTCCATTTCTAAATTTCTTTGAGTCTTATACTGTTCTGGGAATTTACAGTATTCTGCAAAATCATAAACTCAACAATGCTAAGAAGAGATGATGTGGGAAATATGGAAAGCTGCTTAGCTTTGGTATCCTGCATAACTGTTTTATTCTCTCCGTTGAAGCATTGTATGGACAGCCACATCATCTCCCAGATTAAGTGTAGAAGTATGTAGTGCCATAGTTGGATGTGCTTTCTTTCTTTCTGTTTGCTGCTTTTTATGCTTACATTTCCTTGTGGAGCGTTTGTATACATCATCTTCTTCCCTGCAGAACTGCGTGGAAACAAATACAGTGCTAATGTCAACAAAAGGACCTGATGATCAGAGTGAGTTGTACAGAAGACTTGAGTGGGACAGTTTACTGTACATACTTTTTGAAATTAGTTCTTTAATAAAAGTTTAGTTAGGTAACAGAATATATAATATATAGAATATATTTTACTTTATATCAGTTTGGCCCCCAAAATTATAACATCTGAAAATTAATACTTTATATTAAAAGTAAATGTTTAATACTTTAATTTTTTACTGAGAAAAGTAGTTTTTCTGTGTACCTTAAGCTAGCCAGCCTCTAAATTATTTTATTATGTGTTTGTACATACATACACGCAGAGTTTGAGTTTGATCATTTAGTTCCTATATTTTAAAAAACTAATTCATGCTATTTATCTTTGTGAAGAATGTAGAAAACTTATTAGTTATTTTTTGTAACTTATGAAGTATAGCTTTAAATAGTCCATATTCTTACTAGAAATCAAGTAATATAGCCCGTCAAATATAGAAGATAATCATCTGTATTTGAAACTTAAAAAGCTTTCTGCTTACTCCTTAAAAATGGTGCTTAATGACTTTGTAATGACAGGTCATGGCAGCTTACAATAAATGTGTCATTGACAATCCCTTTGTGCCTCAGAGCTTTAAGATGGTAAAATCAAAGTGCCAAGTAAGTCTTAAAACAATGTTCTCTGAATAGTGAGGAACTTTGTTCTGATTATTTAAAGATCATTGTCTTGTGTGGCAGGATTGGGGATCAAAAATATTTTTGTAGGATAATAAAATTGTATGTACATTTTGTGACGCTAGATTTTCATATGGCTTTTTTCTTAAAATTTTAAGTTCTGAAAATTGAACTTTTTCTTGGATACACAAATAGAAGAGTGTTTGATTTTGGCTAATGAGGTTTCATTTCAGTATCTGTGGCAGCTGAATCTAATGTGTGCTGGGCATTTCAAACTGATCTACAACTAGGGGAATTCTAGTATGGAACAGCCGTTGAAGGCTGCAAGTGAGAAAAAAATCCGTTTCTTCATAGGTTATCACAATTCAAAATGTGAGTGAAGATGAGAACCCTAACATGATTGCCATAAGAATGTTAGAATAAATTACTGTATATTTGATATTTAAAGTTGTTTGGTACTTTAATGCTATAATATAATCAGATTTTAATTACTGGAGCAATATAATGCTTCAGAGCAATTTGTGGACACTGTATTTTTTAATATTAATAACAGAAGAGTTTTGGACTGTACTATTTAAAAAGTACTTTATGCTAATTCATTAGGTCCAACACAACTATGAACTGTGGTCTGAACCTTCAGAGAGTTTATGATATAGGAAAAAGCATACAGTGTATTGAAAGGGGGACATGGTGTGGGGAATGCAGACTCACTAAGTGCTAAAGACACTTTGGCATCGTATTAAATTCGTTTGATTCTCATGATAGCTCTTTATTGTTATCTTTTTTCTTTTTCTTGGTCTTCCTTTCTCTATACCTAAAAATACAAGACAGTATAAGCAGGCCTTACAATATGTGTCTTTCCATAAGCTGGTTGCTTGGAACTCGAGGTGTATCATTTCATAGAAACAAATACAGTGATTAGGTTAGCAGGCCAAACCATAAACAAAAGGTTGCTTAACTCCCAAAAACCTATTTTCTAGTCTTATATTAACAAGGTCTTGGAGCTTTGTCATTCCTTTGCATCCCCTCAGGAGTGCCTGGTAGATGCCAGGTAGTGTACCCAGTGCTTGGGGATTCAACGGAGACCACACAACAAGGGCCCTGCTCTCCTGGAGCCTACAACCTAGTAGAGAAACTGACATTAAATAGAAAATGGGACAAAC